AACTACATTATCTGGATTATTTCACCCTTCCTGCTGACCATTCTTTCCCTGAGCACTAATGCATCTGACTCCTAATCATACGTCTGTGTGTGTTTTTCAGGAGGTGATTGGGCATTCAATAAAACAAGCTGTGTGTTTGCGATTGTACACTGTTCCTGAGAGGTATTCCTTATTCTTGATTATTTCTGTGATTTACCAAACAGAACCTAAACATTTAATAGTAAACCTGCTTTTGGATTTTGTGGTCAGGAAATAACTGATGGTTTGATTTGGGTTACAGAAGCAGGGTTTGTACTCTTGAAAATATGATGATTTCTGTGTTTTGTTTTTTGATAGCTCTGAAAATACACCAAGATTGTTTGAGCTGCCTTCACTGCAAGTGGACCAGTCGTATACCCATAATAAGGCTAAGAATGCTGTTTTGTAATGCTGAATTCTGAAATAAGGTGAAAACAGTATGTTGATGATAAGAGTGTGTTTTAATGCAGGTGGAATGATAAGAAGGCTGGTATGCATTATGTAGTGTTCTGCATGCCCGAGATTTCGCCCTCTAAAATATATATTTTGAGGAGGGCAACAGACCCCAACAGGTACACATACCATTTTTATTCTGTTCTCTGTTGTATGTAAAATGTATGTAAAAGTTTGGGGTTAGTAAGATTTAAACATAATAATAATAATAATAATACTTTTATTCAGCAAGGATTCATTAAATTTACTATAAGAGAATGCTGTCCTTCTGAACTTTCTGTGAATCGAATAATCCTGGAAAAAAATGTATCAAGGTTTCCACTAAAATATTAAGCAGCACAACTGTTTTCAACATTTATAATAATAAGACATGCTTCTTGAGGACCAAATATTATAATGATATTTCCATTATTAGAATGATTTCTGAAGGATCATGTGACACTGAAGACTGGAGTAATGGCAAAATGAAATTCAGCTTTGCCATCACAGGAATAAATTACATTTTAAAACATATTCAAATAGAAAACATTTATTTTAAATTGTAATGATATTTCAGAATATTTTTGTTTCAAATAAATGCAGCCTTGGTGAGAAAAAAAAGAGAATAATAATTTTATTTTTTATTTTTTTAAATCTTACCGACTCCATACTTCTGAACGCTAGTCTGTATAATAACTATAACAAAAAGCATAGTGTGACTAGTGTAGGCCAATTCATAAACTTATCGTTGGTACTTTAATGACTCAAATCAACAAGTCATTAGTTAAATCAGTTTAATTAATCTTTTACTGAATGAATAAGTCGTCCTAAAACTGTGATTATGATTTGTCATGGATTGATCTTGAATTTTTTGAGAAAGTATCACATTACATCAGTGAATTGATTTTCCATCACCTCTAACTGAATTAACATCCAGCAAAAATTCTTCTTTAAAGGTTTATGAAAGTTTAAACAGTATCATCATGACTGGTTTTCTGTATAAAGCACTAAATTGGTGTATGTGTGTTTCAGGTCTGTCGCTAAAGGTCTGGTGGCCCTAAACCTCAACACTCCTCTCAATTCAAGTATAGATGATGAAACACCTGCACCAGCTTCTGCGTGAGTTCATCTATGGCATTAAAAAAAATAGCATACTATGAAAATATTGCCATTATTTAATCTTTGACGTTATATATAGTGACAGTTCGTACAGTTGCCTTGATGCCCGTTTTTATGACAACGAGACATTGACAGTGGTATTGCGAAGTCTGGAGGATGATGAGAATAAGATGCGCGTCCTCGCTCAGCTTCATCTAAACTCTGCTTTGAGCTGGGATGAAGAGTTCACCTGGGACCTTACGCTCCGGTACAGCACACTTGTTGATTCATACCAGAAACCTATAATTTTTTATTAAATTATTCCTTAAAGAATTGCACTGTAAGTAGCACTATACATTATATTGCTGTAGCAGTTCCAGCAGTATAGTAGATTGTAATACAGTTAAGCTTAGCTTCTTCCTATTGAATGTCCTGAATTAGCACTCTTTTGATGTGTCTGTTGTGGTGTGTGTCAGGCTGGAGCAGCAGACTGAAGGGATCCCAGTCCAGGGTTTGACCTGGCGAAACCAGAGCAGAGAGATGGACAACATCAAGGCTCAGTTTGTGGCAGTTAATGGGATCCGCAAAGTGGCCTGCATGGTAAGACTCTACAGCTTGAGGAAAATTTTAGCCATTTAGGAGAATAGTTTATATTGAATATATTGATTGATGTATGACTCTACATAGAGAATAATAATTGAAAAATTATTGAATTTTCAAAAATGAATGTTGTAATACTTCCATTAATGTGCATTAATTCTCATTCAGCTCAGTGCCAATCTGAGACACATACGTGTGTTCGAGATGGATGCAGAGGAGGAAGAGGAGGAGGAAGAGCGTGCTGACGAGTCACAGGAAATGAGCTTGGACCAGGACAGACTTGAGGACACAATGACTAATCAGAGTGATGCTGGGGAAGGTAGAGATGGAGTAGGAGGTGCTGAGGAGGCTCAGGTGGCAGGTCAAGGGTCAGGAGACATTTTGGATGAGACTGCAGGATCAGACAAGCTTTGAACTCTGACCTGAGATCCAACATGTTCTCCACAACTGAACTATGGACTCCTCTGTTATTCTTGGTCTTGTTCTTTTTGTATTAAAAATATTTTGTGATAAAGATGATCTGATGAACATTTCACAGTCTGATTTGTAAATAAATGGATTTACTGTGTACTAATCTTGGGTTGTATCAATCAATGCGCTGTTCACAGTCAACCATGATTCATTTTTCCCATTACTGAAAGTTTCCAATAACAGCTGAGTGTTCAGCTAGTCATGTGACCTCAACATGGCTGCCTCCATATAAAATAAACACTGCTTTTACAGAGCGCGACAGTCAGATTATAGCAGTAAAAATCCCATTTATTTTCACCAAAGGGGTGATTAATTTATTCTATGTGCTCCTGATGAAGCCATCAGCCTGCATTTTTAAACTTATTCTCAAATAATAGTGTTCAGCAGTGGAATTCCTGGTGAAAAACTACATTACCCATGATACTCCACAAATCAGGGAATCATGACAAGCAAATTGCCAACAGAACATTTTAGTGCCCACCCACCCCCATGAAGCACTGTGAATATAAACTCAGTTTTCCTACATTATTATCTACTAACTACTTATGGTTTTTGCAATCAACAGAAAATATATTGTTTTTATTTTGACTCATTCACAGAGCTTCATTAGATTGTAGTTCTTTACCTCATTTAAACCAATAAGTACAAGTCTTGTAACTTTGTCTTCTTGTTTGATTTTCAAATACCTTTTTGCTTCAAATCAGAGTTTGTAATGTTGTGGTTCACCTCATAGCTGGTAGGTTTGGTTCATGGCTTATAACTATCCCTCTAACAAAAAATACTTCCGGAACCAAGGTTGCTGAAAAACTGGGTAGGCACTGTTGCACTCTTAGACTATTGATATAACTTGAGTGAGTTTTTTTTTGCTATTATACTGGGGGGTCCTGGATTAGCTGGGAGTTGGTGGCCCTTGGGTCTGGGAAGGTTGAAAACCCTGCCCTAGTACAATAACAACCTCTAAGTCTTTCTTTCTTGCTCACCTGGAAATAAAATGACTGGAACATTTTTGAAGTTCAGTCATGAGTAGGATGGAGTGAACATTTTAAGAAGTGCAAGAAGTTAAATCCTAATGTGCCTCCAGCAGTCCCTTCTGCGAATGGCATCTCGGATGGGCTGTGAAGAAATAATGTCCAAATAGAGCCAAAGATATAAAATAAATAACATAATATAATCCTAAACTTAGTTTATGACAGTTTTCTTCCTACAAACATGCTGGTTTTGCCATTAAACACCAAGAAATTCAGTGTCTATTTGAAAAAATGAGAGACCATATCAAAGAGGAACAAAAATCTAAAGATGTTAAAGTACTTAAGCATACATCTCAGAAACAGCCAATGCAAATATTAGATGCAAACTCTGAATATGCAAAGATGTAGTTGTTCAGCCTATACCTTAAATGGTGTGTTCAGGTACTGTTTTCAATTTAAACAAAAGTAAAAATATATTTTTTTGTGAAAAAAGTAGGCCTTAAGTATATTCTTTAGGTTTTTCTTTAGCTCTTGAATCTGATACTGTATAGACATTTTATATACAGTAATTTTAATGCACAAACTTTGTAATGCAACCTGTCTCAGTCTCAGTTTCCTTAATGCTCTTACTAAGGCTCTATAGTGGTTCAATATTCAAATGCCCCCTAGCCCTAGTTTTGTTTTCAAAACTTAATTTAGTCCATGGACACTACTAGTTTCTGTAAATAAAGTATTATAATTTTTTATTTGTAATTTTAAAGTTAGGCTTAGCCTTGTTGTTCAAATACTGTCAATCCTGGTTCCTCAAAGGAAACAAACAATTCTTGAGGGGTGAATTAAAATAAGAAATATACTGTATATATATATATTTTCTTTTACCAATTTTAATGCTTGTTTTGTCTCATTTTAAATAATTTTAGCCTGGGCCTCTGCAGAGAATCACTGAAATTGTATTTAAATTCACCAGCAGCTAACTGTACAATTGTTTTGCATTTAAATATAGGTACATCGACATAATATTGCTTTGGGTCAAATATTCTGTTGTGGTAAATGATGACATCTCTTCACAAAGTCAAATGAATATTTGAGTGCTATTAAAATTTAGCCTGAAACATAGTTGAAGACTGGTTTGTTTGCTCCGCAAGATGTTTAAATTGAGAATTTTTTTAACCAATAATAACCTGCAAAAATACTTTGTACGATGTCTAAATGAAATCGTAAAGAGTTCAAACAAATCGTAAAAAGAATTTAGTAAGAGTACGAGTAGTTGGTTACAAAAGTATCCAGGTAATCTACAAAATCCCCGCAAAAATACCTAAGAACAGGAATAAAGTACGAGTACTTGACCGTGTATTAATCGAGATAATGTTATTATCAGAGTTAAAGTGCGCGTTCCTGGTCCAGGGAAGGGTCGCTCCCAAAACGTGCTCGTCCCCGTGAGTCACGTGATGACGTCTCACTTCGAGTTTCTCAAAGATTTCCCAGTGAGCGACTGGCGGACAGTAAAGATGGCGACGGAGCTTACAGTGTGTACGAGTTACCGGACAAGATGACGACGAGAAGATTAGTAACTTTCGAGCCGCGGCGTTGACAGTGCTCCCTTTAAAGACCTTGCGACGGAGGCTCGCGAACTTGCTGACTTTGGCGGTAGTTAAACAAACCTAACGGACACGACACCGGCGCGCGGACATATCGTTGCTTTTGCCATGGAGGATATCAACTCAAACATAAACGCGGACTTGGAGGTGCGGAAGCTTCAAGACTTGGTGAAGAAACTCGAGCAGCAGAACGAGCAGCTCCGGAGCCGATCCAGTCTGCTCTCCTCCTCCTCTTCTTCCGGTGGACTGTCGGGGAACACCAGACCCGTGAGCGCCGGCTATGATTGTCCGGGAGCGGCGGCGGCGGGGCTCGCCGGGTTCAATGGGGTGGGGTTCGGCGGATCGAGGGGGTTCGGTGGGGTTTTGGAGATCTCCCGGCTGAGTCCCAGACGGTCATATCACGGCAGCAGTTACGGAGGGGGGTATGACAGTGACAACGCTTCTTGTGCCGCCGCGAACACGAGTCTCGCGTCTTATTACGATTCGCTGGATTTTATCGAAGACGGAGAAACTTCAGTGCTGGACGAGGTGGACATTCTCGATTTGGAGGACATGGATTGCCTGAACGAAGAGGAAGACAGCTGGTGAGTAACCTGCCGGGAGGCGAAGGTGTTAACCCCGATCAGAGGAATAACCTCTCGATCACACACACACACACACCCTTCATGTGGTTGACAGGTGCGCGCAGACGCCACAGAGAAGAATGACGCGTATTTGGAGGAATGCGCTTGATGCATTGTTGCACCCATGTCTCTTTGGCTAAGGGCTGGGGTTAGTTTATTCAATGCATTGACTGCAATATGACTGACATCTGTTTAATATTAATAGCGCCTTACGTCTGAGTATTTAAGAGCAACAGTTTGCTGACTGCATGTGTTCAGTTCGCACCACGGCCTTGCAGTTACTTCTGATGTGTGGGTCCTTCTCATCTGCCCTTCAGTTTATTTCAGTACCTTCATAAATCTGCTGAATGACAGCCATGGTGTCATGATTCAATGATGTCATTAGAATCACACACAAATTATGTATTTGCATACGTATGTCCTTTTGATAAGGCCTCAGATATGATCAAGCCGATTAGTTACAACAGATGTACATACTTTTCTGCACGATCTGCATTGTGTATGGCTCTTTTGTTTCACATAAGATGGTGCATTCAGGTTTTTTAGGAAATAAACAAGAAATGAACAGAATGCTGACAAATATCATTCCAAAGATGTGCAGTCATATGAGAAGCTGAAAAAAGCTGATGGGTCAGGCTGATGGGTGCCTGTTTAAAGTCCAGAACCACTATTGGGAAGAATAAGAGCCAGCTAAATGTACACTAATAGCAGAATGAGCATGCTGTCACCTGTTGTTATGCCTCCATTCTGGAGTGTAAAAATAATGAGCAACTTCCACTTAAAGGCAGAGTGAGTGATTTCTGGTAGCCAATGTTGATATTTGAAATCACCAAAACAAACACGCCCCTACCCCAAAAGGGTCTTGCCCCTATTTTGATAGCTCCGCCCCACATATACGTACACAACCCAGGCAACGATTAGTTCTGTGAAACAAAGCAAAACCAATGTTACACCGTGTCTACGGACGTGAGCGGCGCGGCGCAACAAATCCCCGACAGAAAACTGCTGCCAGGTTCTATTTATGACGTGCTGACACAAATTTCAAATGGTTTTCAACGGTCGTTTGATCGCGTCCAGTGTAGGCAGACTTTAGCTGTTGTAGACACGGTGTTACTCACCTACTGAGAAGAAACATAGCAACCTCGGCGTCCGATCGCAGGCCTCCGCTCCTTAAGTTCTCTCCAGCGCTGGAAAGCTGATCCGACATTTACACGGGTCCTACTTCTTGCCTTATCGTTCCGCAGACGTTTTCCTCTTTTGTTTTTTATCCGCCATCCCTATCTTTCTGTCGCTCAGCTCGGCTAATGTCCGTCCCATGCACTGAACGCGCTCTCCTCCACATCACGAGTAGACACGCCCCTTATTGCTGATTGGCTACAAGTTTGTTTTGCGATTCGGCCCGAATCAGTTTTCTAAAGTGTTTTTGAAAAATCACTTACTCTGCCTTTAATGTTTAAATGCAGACAGTTAAAAAAAACCTCAAAAGTTTGGGGTCGGTAAGATTTTTAAAATGTTTTTAAAATAAAAACTGCCCTTCAAAAAAAAAAAAAACTATGCCAACCAAGGGTGCATTTAAATTCAAAATAACTGTTTTCTATTTGAAAATATTTTAAAATGTATTCAAGTGATGGCAAAGCTGCTGCTATAACTCCAGTCTTCAGTGTCACATGATCCTTCAAAAATCAGTCTAATATGTTGATTTGCTGCTTAAGTATTTATCAATGTTGGAAAAAAGTTGTGCTGCTTAATATTTTTGTAAAAACTGTGATAAATATTTTGATGAATAGAAAGAAAGTTCGAAAGAACAGCATTTATTTGAAAGCTTTTGTAACATTAAGGCTTTGCTCTCACTTTTGATCAATTTTGCTCAAAAAAGTGCTTGTGAAGATGAACGTTATCTTGTTGCCTTCTGGTTGTCCCATGTTCTCAAGTCCCAGACAGCTTCATCGTATCAGTTTTTGATCTTGTGTGGATTGATGTCAGTGTGTAATCCATTGTTTGTGTTTGCTTTAATCAGTGTCTGTGAGATTCTGTGGTTTAGGTCAATTTACACAGACTCAGAATCCTGTAATCCAGACACTCGATCCTGTTTGGTTGGATATCTTGCAGTGGCAGCAAAATGCTGGGAAATCCCTGCAACAGCTGGAGTCCAGCAGATCAGTGAGCTTAACACCTGTTTATCACTACAAATAGTTGGTAGGACAGAAACTGTACTTGTCAAACCAAACAGGTCGGAAGTGATTACAGCAAAGATGCGCAAATGATTTAATCTTCTTAGTCATGACGATTTAAGGATAAGATTGTTTTTTGTTTGTTTGTTTTATTGTAGATTTAATGGTGTTTAAGGTCACAAATGAGTTCAAGCCATGCTGTTAGCAAATCTGTTGCCAATATAAGAAGATAATGTGTTTATAATTATGTTGAATCAATGAAGCAGCAGTCAAAGCACAGCTTTCAAAGTCAGATCTGTGCTTTTGTGAGGTAACAATGCATTTATACCAGGAGATCATTTCAGTTTCTGTCATATCTCAGGAGAAAGGCTTACTTGGAGAAATGCTCTCTGTCTCTATGTGAAGGATTATTAGAAGTGCCAGATTTTGCCACCAATACTGCAATCCTGCATTGCCATCAGTCCTGATAAATAAATCTGTCTGGTTCTGTGCCATACCTATAAACTCCAGTCTGACTGATCAAAATGGTTTGTGTCAGCATTAAATCAGTCATTGACATGAGAAATGTGGTCCAGGATGCGTAGTACCAAAGTTTGACTCCAAGTTTGTCCCAGCTATGCAGAACTTTTACACTATACCATTCAAAGGTTTAGGGTGTTTTTGAAAACGTTAAAATAATTTTTTTTTTTTTAAAAACGCTTTTATTCAGCAAGGATACATTATTTAGACTTGTGCCAGTATTCGGTAATGTGATATATCACGATAATGAATATGCACGATATTGTTATCGTGGGCACTTCAAAATACCGTGAATAATTATTTATTACAAATTATTCTGAATTTTAAATGCATTTTAAGAATACTTAACTTTTCCCATCAACTGGTCACAATGCACAACACTGCTGTATGCTGCGTCAAAGACGCGTGACAGCAGATGGCGCTGAACAGCAAAAATTCAGCCGTTACCCCGGTAACCCCATAAACAAAGAGCTACTTTCTGTTTCTGAAATGTATTTAAATAATTTAAATAGCCATTCAGATTTGTGTATTCGCTATGGTGTTCATCACAGTGCCAAATACTTAAATATTTAGACTTAATAGGCTATTTATTTTCA